CTGGAAAGAGGGAAGTGCTTTATTGGGGTGACAAGATACTTTGACGCCCTTAAGATAAGATAGAGTCTGATAAAAACTTTTTAAGTGAGGAGAAGGATTTTAAACTAATTCTAAATTTAAAAGGAAGCCAGTGAAGAGAAGCCAGTGTGGGAGAAACATGCTGTCTTTCTAGTTCCTGTCAGTACTCAAGGTGCAGCGTTTGGATCAACTGACAGCTTTTCAGGGAGTTTTTAGGATTTCCCTATAATAATAAATCGCAACATTCACCCTAGAAGTAATAAATATATGAACTAGCTTCTGAGCATCAATATGAGACAGGATATTTCTAATTTTAGAGAAACTGCACAAATGGATATTCGTTCGCTATATAAGAACACAGAGGGACATATTCTGGTCAAAAATAACTCAAAAATTCCTCACAGTTTGGTGTAGCGCCCTTTTTGCCACTTATTTCACCCAACAACAGCCAGCAAGCAATTGCCTAAAAGTTTGGAAATATACATTTTTTCCCTGTGGTTGCTAGATGGTTGCCAACCAGTCTCTAGGCCCATGTAACTGAGCCCTTAGCTTGTATTGGCAACAAGGCAATAATACAACAATATGCTTAACTTACAATATAAGGCCTCAATTAACAGAGTTTTAAGTTTTTTACAACGATGTCGGGGGTGCAGCTCCATCTGGTGGCAGATGGCTGCATAATATATTGGACACAACAATTTACTGGTATTGTGCATCAATTAAAATGTAAACAATTAGATTAAATGACTAGTACCTCTTGAAGGCTTAGCCACTAGTGATAACAGTTTCCACAATTTTCTTCATTGTAATAATTATTATTGTCAGCTCACAGGTATGAATGACAGCAGCCAAAACAGTACAGGTATTTGGTCGTGGAAAGGCTGCTCTAAAGTAGGTGGTACAAGACATCCAGCTGGCTATAATTCAAATTAACCTCTGCGTAACTGAATCGTCCTCGTCTGTGAAGTCACCATCATTACTCATTACTTCATTACTGTCTCTAATGGCTCACAAATGAAGGTGCTTTACTCTTTAAGGCCTAAGAGATTCTAAAAATTCAAAGATGCATTCCACTTACCCAAATCAAACTACCGCTGCCAAAGTACACACACACATATAGAGAGAGCTTTCTCCTTTACTTTTGATGCCTTGGCCTTTCTGATGCCCATGAGGTAAATATTTACAAAATACTGAGCTGAAATCAATACTTCACTCAACAAAAAATCAGCCACGGAACCGGAGAGGGTAGATTACCGGGTCCCAGGAGACCAAAGTCACCCCCAAGGTATTTGATTTGCATTCCAATTGTTTTGACATGGCTCCGGTGTAATTCACTGTGCGCCTGTGAAGGTGAAACACTGCATGCTAAACCACGTGGCTAATTTACAGCAGAGAAGCCACACACTGCTGCTTTCTGCCTCCATTTGATATGCTGTTGTGGTGCTGGGTCGGCTTGTGCCAAGAAAACAAGGCTTTGTATTTTTTTAAAAAAGGAGAAAAAAGTACCCCTCCTTGCTCTCATATTCCGCTCCAGTGCTCAACTTTGATTATTTTGTGTGGTGTTAATTTTGCGCCTGTGCTGTAGCGTCGTTTACGCCTGTCCGTGTCTGTTTTTTTGTAGAACGAGCATGGCATACTTGTTGCTAAAATGTCAGCCGATTTCTCCTTTCCATAGACAGGCTGGTTGTTGTTGTTCATTATTGCATCATTACAATTTGTATGGGAACCGGATCAGAGACCAATTAGGCTTTGTGTAACATTCAGCGATTGCTCTCATTTACAGAAATTACCGGCGTCTTTGCTGCGATGTGACAAAATAAATGAACGCTGTGTGTCCGCAAATACAGCCAGATGATTCAGCATGTTAAAATATTCAGGGGAAATATTCATCGATTTGCATGTGTAGCACAGATCACGGGAATTGTGGAACAGTGGAAGCTGCTGTTTATTATCTTTTGGCCAAGACGTCGCATTGTCTCCTTCTCATTTACTTGAGTGTTTTCTCTCCAGCCGTGTGCTTTCTCTTCCCTCTTTTTCCTCTCTTACGCTGCCACTCCGATTGATTCCACTTTTTTAATTTCACAGCATAATCCAATAAACCTTATTGTTATTGCAGCAATTAACATTTAAGCTCGGCGGTGTAAAAAATGAGACATCTGCCACGGCTGGTGTGAGTCACGTGGCTCCGGTCATGGCTTCACGGTCGGTTAGCGCTCCCCCCCTCGGCAGATCTGTGAGCAGTTCTCCCCCCGGCTACCTGCTCCTCCAGGTCCCACCTGGATCACTGAAACAAATTAATTATATTGATTTAAAAGCCTCTAATGACTTAAGAACTGTAAATGTATTAGAGGTTTAATCGCTCCACTTTTCACAGGCCTCAGATCGCGTCATGGCTAAGTTCGTTTGCATTAAGGAACACATGCTTACAGCACGCTCAGGCTGTATTAAATTATACGCCGCTACCTGTTCAGACGCTGTTCTATTCGCAATCAGGAGCTCTTATAGATTTTGATGTGATACCTTGGATTCTGAGGAGTTCTCTGGCCGCCGTTATTTCTTCTACACATCCTGACCAAACAATCAGCTACTGTGGAACCAGCCCTGCCAACTGTTACTTTATGTGGGCCTGCAGAGTAGACAAAATCTGCTGGTGAAGATTAAGCATGCAGTCTCGTCCTAGACTCAATGCTTCTCATTCTTTCTCTGACTGGTTGCTACTGCTTATTCATGCATAAAAGAAATGCAAATATTTATCTCGATCTCGCCCTGTAAATCGTTACAATGTTAATTTTACCCTCCGCTATCAGGTTAAGTGCTAATGAGGGAAGCTTGCCAGCAAATTAAGCTGAATGTCGCAGAAAAAAAATCTTCCCAAAAGTTGATTATATCATAGATGTCACGGGAGGGAGGATGTGACAGATTCGGCAGCAGGTGGGGTGTAATCAGAACAATAAAATAAGAAAAACAAAAGCGATGAAGGGATGACTAATTATACAAACAGCCAGATGGAAAAAAGGAAACACAGATGACATCGAGAAGGACCGGATAAACATTAAAAGATGGTTCTGAGTTGGGGGAAAAGAAAAGAGGAATTTCACAAAGGTGGGCGTGTGCGCTTTCCTGAATACTGTTGAGTCATTTTGTATTTATATTAACCTCTTAGTTTTAGCCACTGTCAAGCTTTGCGTACTTGGCTGTTAACCGACTGTGAAATTAAAAGAAGTAATAACATTATTTAAAAAGAAGAATGAGGGATGAAGCCTTTCTGCTGCAATGCAGCCACTGTCCATGTAACTAATCAATTACTAGAAACAAGTGGCTTGGGAAAGGAAAAGTCAGGCTCAGGTGATGATATTGTTGGGTAAAAGGAGGAGAAGAAGAAGATCTGACATCCAAGACAGACTTCGCCTTATGACGGGACCTTGACCTCTGCAATGGGATGATCTTTGATCTCTAACAGTGGTTCCCGTCGTCATCTGCAGGGAAAAAAATGAGTAAAATCATTGTCGGGAATTGATCCGATACTTTACAGTCCCCATCTGTCAAGCCTGGTTTGCGCTCTGCTGTACATCCATTTTTATCTGAATATTGTATCGTAGATCACTGAATGCAAATGGAGCAGTTTGTCTTTCTGTCACTATGATGCTCAGCTAGTGTCTCCTTGGCTTGGCCTTTCTCTTCATCCCTAATAACTGCCGAAGGATATTGTTCAGCTGAATTCTAATCACATTGAGTAAAAGTATTGATTGGCGGGGTCCAAGGAGTTCTTCCAGCCACTTGGCCTTTATCAATCATCACCCATCAAGGTACACTATCCTCTCTGAATCTTCACACTGTTTGCGCACTCGCACTGCCCCACTTTATTTCACATCAGTGAATATGCCACATTTCTGTATATAAAGGACATCTATTTCCCTTACCGCATACAGCGAGGTGTTGACAGAATCGATACCGAAAGCCGTAGCGTTTTTTTACGTTTGCTTGCTTTGCCGTCTCAAAGTTTTTCATTAAACACACAGACTCTTTTTTCCCCCCCTTCATCTTTTTTATGAGACGACACATCTGATGTCATTGGCTGTTGGTTGTGTTTCTGTGCCATTAACTACCACGAAACATAAATTTTGAATCATATCAGTGCATTTCCAGTTTTGTACCCACTGTGAAGAGATGACATAAAATACGACATTAAATAAGATTGACTGATTGCTGGTGGGTTTGTGTGTTTTTCAGTCGTGAGGCCTGTCCTGTCCTCTCCAGGTAGCTTCACCCCCCATCTTTAAAATAAATCATAAATCTAGTGCCCTTGGTTACCTGGTCTATGTAGACAACCTGGATTGACTGATGTAAAACTTTATCGCTTCTGTCAGATATGTGGGATGGATGGGTGGACACTGTGGCCAAAACACCTCTGTTGGCTTGTGTTACAATTCAATTCAGTTCAGTCCAGTTCAATTTTATTTACATATCACCTTTATGCTGTAAGGTAAAGATCGTACTATAATACAGAGAAAAACCAACAATCAGACGAGCAAGCACTTGGCGACAATGGGAAAGAAAAACTCCCTTTTGACAGGAAGGGGAGGGAGACAGGATAAAAACGCACTGTTGAAAAGAGCCAAAGATTAATAATAACGAATGATTAACTGCAGACTGGCATATAAACAGTGTGAGTGAAAAGAAATGAGTGAGGAAGTGCATTATGGGAAGCCCCCTCCCCCGCAGCCTAGGCCTATTGCAGCCTAACTAAGGGAAGATTTAGGGTCACCTGATCCAGCCCTAAATATATGCTTTATCAAAAAGAAAAGTTTTAAGTCTAATCTTAAAAGTAGAGATAGTGTCTGTCTCCTGAATCCAGACTGGAAGCTGGTTGCACAGAAGACAGGCCTTAAAGCTGAAAGCTCCCATTCAACTTTTAAATACTCTGGGAACCACAAGTAAGCCTGCAGTACAAGAGCGAAGTGCTCCATTGGGGTGATACTATTAGGTCTGTAAGATAAGATAAGGCCTGATTATTTAAGACCTTATATGTGAGGAGAAGGATTTTGCAGTGTCAAATAACAAATGTTTGAAATGTGCACCCTTTAATGCCTCCTCTCACCTGTCTTTCTCCCACACAGGGCATTTACAGCTGTATCCATGGGGTGCAGATCGAGGAGAAAAGCAGCTCTGCATTGAACTCGCCATCAGCCACCATGAACAACACCCATTCGAACATCATGCGGCTCCTACGGACAGCCAAGAACATGGCGTCCCTGTCAGGGGTGAACGGCTCACCACACAGCGCTTTGGACTTCATCCGTCGTGAATCTTCTGTTTACGACATCTCCGAACATCGGCGCAGCTTGGCGGGCCACTCTGACTGCAAGCCACCCTACATGCCAGAAGACAACATGTTTAGCGACTACATCAGTGAGGTGGAGAGGACGTTTAGCAACCTGCATCTTAAGGACAGCAATTTGTATCAGGACCATTATCTACACCACCATGGTTCAACTTTAGGGCTTAGCGGACCTCCTCCCAACAGACCCCATAGTTTGGGTAGCGCTAGTTCTTTGGAGGGCGGCATGTTTGACTGTGACAGCCTGGGTGGAGGGGTGACCCCTATTTTTACCACTCAGCCCTGTTCAGCACTGACCCACAGGAACATGAGCAAGTTTGACCTGCTGTCCGGACAGACTCCTCCCTCGGGCCAGAGCTTCAAGGGAGGCCTGCCCGACCTATATGGGAAATTCTCCTTCAAAGGAGGTGCCTCGAGTTCCACTTACATCCCTGGACATAGCTATTGTCCAGGGAGAGGAGATGATGATGGGAATATACGCTCAGATGTGTCAGACATTTCCACGCACACGGTAACGTACGGAAACCTGGAGGGTAACGCCAAAAAGCGCAAACAGTACCGGGACAGCCTGAAGAAGAGGCCGGCCTCTGCCAAGTCCAGACGGGAGCTAGACGAGATTGAGCTGGGCTACAGGAGGAAACCTTACCACATCAGTCACCACCACTATCACGGGCACCGCTCTGGTTCCCCACCGCTGCTGCCCTCTGAACGCAAGAGGGGTGGCGGAGGAAGCGGGGGAGGTGGAGGAGGGAACAATGATGGGAACTCTTATCTTTTCAGAGAAAAGGAGAGCGTTAGAGATTTTTATTTGGACCAGTTTCGGCCCAAAGATGGTGTCCCTCAGTGGGAACACGTGGACTTGACTGAGGGTCCTGGGAACAGAGATGGAGGAGTAAGTACCTGCACCTCCCTGGTACCAGTGGATGACTTTCTTCAGAGCAAACCCAAGAAGTCTGATTCAAAGAGCGGGGGAGGTTCTGGATTGGCTGGGGGAGAGTGGGAGTGCAGGAACTGTCGGGCTAGTGGGGGACTGGGGAGCAAGCAGATGTCATTGCATGGAGGTGGCTATGGTGGCGGCATGAGTTGTGGGTCCTCGGGAGGGGGAGGCAGTCGTCCCAGCTCCGCAACCTGCATGCGTTGTGAAGGCTGTAAAAAGACAGGAAACCTCTACGATATCAGCGAGGACAACAACCACCTTTTGGAACAGATGGGGGGCGGGGCGGGTGGGGGAGGAGGGGGTGGCATGGGTGCAGGCCCTCAGTCTCAATCTCAGGCACAGCAGAGGCGGAAGAGCGGCGGTTTCGGTAAGCCACTTCGGCGGCAGCACTCGTATGACGCATTTGTCGACCTGCAGAAAGACGAATTGGGTGGGATGGGCAGTTTGATGGGAGGCTTAGGAGGAGGTGGGGGCATGAGCGGTGCAGGCATGGGTGGAATGCTGCCCCCACCCAGAAGTGTTAGCTTGAAGGAAAAAGAACGCTACATGGAGGGCAGCAGCCCCTTTGCGCACATGTTTGAACGCCACGGGGGCTCCGAGAGGGAAAGGGAAAGAGACAGGGACCCATTGTTTTACGGAGGTGAGAGCCGGTCGGGCCTCTTCAGAGGCGGAGATGGTGTCCACCGCCGCTCAATAGGGGAAAGAGACATGAGAGACAGGGACAGGTCTTTGATGGAAGGAGGGGGCGGGGCAGGGTTCTCTTTATCAAAATCACTTTACCCCGACCGGGTAAACCAAAACCCCTTTATACCCACTTTTGGCGATGACCAGTGTCTGATGCACGGCGCCAAACAATATTACATGAAAAAGCAACAGCAGCAGCAACAAGTTGCCAAAAACAGCCGAAGTGACTTCAGGAGCCAGATGAGTGCAACTTCGTATCTGCCAACATCTGCCACGGCGGCCGGGGTGATGTCCAGCGCGACGCCCCGGTTCCCGAAAGAGCTCAGCCTCGGTGGAATGAACCACCACGGTTCCATGCTGGGGGTCGGACCCCCGCGTCCCTTCAACGGAAGCAATGGCCATGTGTATGAGAAACTCTCCAGCATTGAGTCTGACGTGTGAAAGACAAATGTGGAAGGAGGAGCGGAGGCGAAGGAGGGGGGAGTGAGGAGAGCAATAGAGGCGCATCTAGTTCTAGGAGATCAGGGATGACTTTAAAGACGCTGTAGACACACTTTAACCCTAGCCCATATTGAGATGTTAGGATTGGGAGGAGGGGAGGTAAGGGATTAAAGGAGGAAAAGACTGAAAGGTGGAGACTGAAATATAAAATAATGCGTAGAAGTTTTGATTTTTGCAAGAAATAATGGGAAACAAATCAGGACACCCTGAGGAAGTGTGGGATATCGCCCCCTTCTCTCAGAAATGGCCAAAGCTACTACATCCTCCCCTTAACTCAAGTCTACCATTTTCCATCCACCAGTGTGGCAGAAGTCAGTGTACTCGGTCGGCGTCGCGACGAGGCCGACACCTCTTCATAGTCTGCTATGGGACGTGTCGAGCCTGCTGCGATTCCATGGCTGTCTGAAAGGCTCCCTGCTGAGCGCTCACGAGGAAGGACAGCGAGAGCAGAGACGGGATTGAACTGCCCATCTGCCCCAGTGTCACAGCAGAAAAAGTAGATAGGGTCACGTTTGCTGGAGCGGCGACACAGGACGATGACTGCTGCTTCCCCGTCTTTCTCACGCTCAGTCAGGACGGAGACAGCCCTGTCTGTCCATCTCTTTTCGCAATGCACTTCAGTTCTCAATATCTCCTCTTTCTCTCCGCCCCACACCCCCCCATGCTTTTCCTCCTCCTTATCCTCGACGCCAAAAGAGCTGATCTTGTTTGCTGTGAGAAATACAATCAATGAATGATAATAAGATATTCTTATAGAAAAAAATAACAGGGTATAAGAACAACAGTAATACTGATACAGTTGTGAATAACAGAGATGTTTAGTGCTGATTATAATAACACTGCTTATAATATCACTAAGTTTTTACTTGTTTTGTGTTCTCGCCGTAAAATCTTTCACTGCTGTTTTTAGCATCTGTGGTTGCAGTCTGTCGTTCTCAGCTCAACCAACAAGCCAGAAAAACTGATTTTTTTTAAATTTGAAAAAAGAAATATTTGTTTTTGGTTTTCTGTAGAATGCTCTTACTACATCTTCATGCATTTATTTGCTCCTTGTAGAAAAACAAGATCTTGAAGATGTATTTGGAGTCGGCAGAAACACGACACTTAACATTTAAAGGCATCACAAGTGCACAGACGCGCGCACACGTTCGGTTTCTGTCCGTCTGAACTTGTGTTCTTTTGAACGATGACGTGCCGACGGGAGCTGAGGATGCTTGGGAGGAAGGACGTGCCTTAACGGTCTCCGGTGGAAATGTCCTCCAAGTTCACAAGCGGCCCTCGCGCAGCAGCAGCCACCACCAGGACGGACCGGCAGGCTTCATAAAGGCCACTCGGCGTTCTTGGGGTCACATTTATGAGCCAAAACTGCAGTAAAACAAAATCAAAGATTTACAGCGGGTTTTGAGGCAGTGCTGCTGCTGCTGGTGGTGGTTTAGATACAAGATACTGTTTAAGATCTTTTATAACTTTGTAAAACAGTGTATTTCATATGTCAAGTGTGGGCAGCGTTTTATGAGCCACCTGTATTCAGGATGTCCCATTGTCACGGATAGACCGATGAGTCTCAGTTCACAACATTGGCAGCCTTTAGAACACTTGTTTTTATTCAGGTTACACAATGACAGTCATCAGGCACTTAACTTTTTCTCGGCCTCTTCACCGGTATCCTGTCGAAGGCGTTACTTTTCGCTGAGCGGGCCGAGGGGCTCGCACAGTAAGCTTTTGTTTGGACATCACGTGTGATTAATATTTGCGCTGTCGTTTACGTAGGCGAAACGCTGCAAAAAGAAAAGAGAAATGTGTAGGAGGAGTGTTGCCGTCCCGCGACAACAATGCTGATGGAAGTTTGAGCAGAGAGGAAGATGTCTATTTGAGAGACTGGCTGATTGCTTTTTACTTTGACTGATGTACATAGTCTTTTTAGCTGAAGAGGCCTAATTTCTTGGACAGGACTTTTTACTCAGTGTAGGTTCAGGCACTCAGTAGACATGCCTTATCATCCCATTGCCCTCGCCCCCACCCTGAGCTGTCTGATGATGACTCATCGCATTACTGTACAGAACAGAGGGAGCCCTGGTAGTTCTTTAAAGGTCTGATCTTCGATTAGTTGGTGTCAAAAAGTTCAAGGGCTGCTGGAGATTGCGCGGGGAGCGCCGGTCCGAGGAGTGTGATCTTTATCATTGTCGACCACTATATCTTAAGGCACCAGTGGAACGGACTGGGGAGGATATGCACGCGCACACGCGTGGAGGGAAGCGAATCAGGATCGAGTGATAACAGCTGTTCTTTTTTTAAACACTAACTCTGTTGACAACTATTCATAAATTCAAAAACTTGTCCTCCTCCTCTTCCTCATCCCTCGCTCCACAGATCACACTGTCAAAGCGAGACTTATCGAGCTAGCCTTAAATCCGACTCATCTGCCCCCCACACACACCCTCCTAATAAACAGATTGGGATCTCTGGAATTTTTATATGCACACATTTTGAAAGTTCAGGTCAACCATTAAAAGCAAGCTGGTATAGGAAGGAGAACGGCCAACGGGGAGTTGGGGGGGGGGGGGGGGGGGGGGGGGATTCGACAAGGAAATAAGAAGAAGGAGACTTTGCAGTGGGTATCAATCAGCGTTAGCATTAGTATGTTAAATCTTTACCTTGTAAATAATAATATATTTAAAAATCTTTTCACTTTGTACAGTAAACAGACAGACAGGATGTAACTTTCAATATGTTTTACAGCAATTTAAGAAATAAAGAAAACAAACATAAAAACTCGTAAAAACTGAAAAAAAATCACACAAACAAAAATATGCAAAATATAGTTAAGACACAGATATTACTAATCATAAGTGATATAATTGAAGCTCTTTTTTTCTTTCGATCTCATGTTTACTTAATTATAATAGTTTACCAATCAGTATACTGATTATGTTAAGAATTATGCTTTTTTTCCCCTTTTTTTTCTCTTATTTTCACTCAAAGTGTCAGAGGATAATTTTACTGTAGGTGTAGACGTTTGGTGATTTGAAAAAAAAAAAGAAGAAAAAACAAAAAAAAAAAACAAGGGGGAAAAGTTTAGTTTTAGGAGTCTTCGCTAAGTTTCCCTTGGATTGTGTTAGATTCACTCTTTTTAAGGTAAGCTATTCTTCATGCTTTTCGAGCGCAATTCAATTATCTACACATTTATGTAATACAATATTACATGTATACAGAGATGATATTTGCATATAGAGGCAGTATATTGTGATCCTTCATTTTTAAGCAGCGATCCTTGTTAAAAAAAAAAAAAACTTAAAAAAAACCTAAAAAAACATTTGTGGATTTTTTTTGTTTGTTTTGTTTTTGTTGCCCGTTTCTTTTTCGATGTGGGCTCTAACGGTGATTGCACACAGAATTTAGAGCCATTGTCAGTCCGGCCTATCCTGTTATATCTCTGTTTGGGATAGACATCACTGTGGTAAATAAGGAAGATACACACATGCACACACACACATGCACACACACACACACAAATGCACACTGGACTTGCCCCAGTGTTGATATTGTGATATTGCTGAGGATTTAGGCACAATCTTGTGGAGAAAACCGTGAACGAGTGCAGTTTCATCTCAGTTATGTGAAGCTGAAATGCATTTGTACAACCCCTTATTAAAAGGTGAAACATCTCTTCCGTCATGTCTCTGTGCAGCGGTTTCTTTGTTCTTTTCTCTTTGCTATGGGTGAATAAACTGCCGTTGCACCGTTTTCGCTCGCTTGTTACTCAACTGTGTTACTTGACAGCTGGAAACAACTCATATGCTTCGGATCCTGATTTGTTTTGTGTGCCACCTTGTATTTGTCTGTTTGAGAAAGGAAGTATCGTTTGTAATCTGTTGTGTACATATGCAGGGTTTTTTCTTCTTTTTTCTTGTTTTCACACAGTCAGAAGCGATTTCCTCGCTCTTATTCTGTATGGTACTGATGCCAATAAGTCTCTATAATCTTCTCATCAGCCCCGAGAGGAGAAATTCATCTCTCTTCTGTTTTGCCCCCCCCCCCCCTTTTTTTTTTTTTTATCTCTAGAGGGCTTGATTGAAAAGTGAAAAAAGTATCGGTGTGCACATAGACTCTGTTAGGTTTGCAGATTTTTTTCTTATTCTCCTCATTTGCAATAAACAGCATGACCAAACAGAAAATCTTCTTACTGTACGCCACATTTTATTTTATTTCATTTCATTTTGTCAGGATTTGGAGGGTAACTAGTTTGCTACCACTGGTTGGGAGGTGTACCTGGCGCTGCGGTGAGCATGCTATCATCAGACCTTTAGCACCTCCAGCTTCAGATCGGGCAGTGCTGCAGAGTAAGCAGGGCTCATTTGGAAGCCTTTATTTCCCTTAAGGCCAAATTGTTCCCAGCTTCCCTTCTCTCTGCTCACATTTGTTCAGATAGTTCACATAGGGGAAAACACTGGCACTTTCCCCTTTTTTTTCCTTTTCTTGTCTTGTCCTTTTTTGGGGGGGGGGGGCAAATTAGCAGGCTGGAACATCCTGAGAGTGGAGGATGTAAATATCACCCCAGATGACGTGTGTGGGGTTTTTTTTTTTTGTCAGTATTAATGACACATGGGACCAAATACCAGCCTGACAGTCGTCTGCAGGGAGCGATGTAATGGTTAATCTGACTTGTTGAAAATGCCTTTTTTCCCCCTTCTTTTTTTCTATGTGTATGTTCTGGATAAAAGGTATTTGAGAAGTTTCTCATATTTCCAGCTTTCATAATTGACTCTGAACTGCTAATTTTGTAATAAATAAGTGTGATTTCACCCGGTGCAGACAGAAGGAACTATACTGTGATGTTATATAGCTGATTTATTCTGAAGGTCCGTGTGATTTGTTCATTCTTATTCATGACAGAAAATATTTTAAGCCACTCTTAATGTGTGTTACAGATCTCGCTTTTTACTGACGCACACAAAACTTTCTACGAAACTGTGTACAGTTTGTTTTGTTTTTAATATTGCTATTTTCCACCGTCATCATTCACAGATTGAGAATCGGTCGCGCTAACTGGGTGAAAATTGCCGATGACATAAGGGGTTGCTACCAAATGTATTTCACAAGGTTAACAGGTTTATGAAATCACAAACATAGCCTGATTGAATTAACTGTGGGTGACAAAAAAAAATGTAACATAGAAATAATATCAATTGTATACATAATATTATTCTTGGCCATTCTTTTCTCTTTTTGTGGCCCTTTACTTTGAAACAATGCCAAAATTTTTACACCGTACAAACAGAAAAACCACACAAAAACAAATAATTGTACAGGTTGTGTATATACTGAATACTGGGGAAAATATTTACCTTCATTTTCTTTTTTTTTTATGGAAACAAAGTAATCTCAATAACAAAATTAACCACATCATGACAAAGTTGCAAAAAAACATCATTAAGGTACTTCTAATAAGGATCATACTGATATCTACAATTATAAGTGCTGACATAAGACTATTCTTTCTCTTTGTACATGATGAACAAAATGAAGTGTTGAGTATTAATAATAAAAAACTATAAGTTTCACGCGTATGTGGTCTCTTCTTAAGCTTTTTGGTGTTTATCTGAATTTCAAAGAATTGGTGATAGCCTGTAGATAAATGATGGACATGGCCACTATGACATCATTGGGAAGTCTCATTCTGAGCTTTTGCCCAGTACCATCTTGGTATTTAAGCATGTGATAAAGAGAGGGCTTGACTAAGGAGGGATAGAGTGTGCCTACATGCTAGTGACTTGGCAATCATTAGGTGCAGCAAACCCTGTTTTATGGTCTTTATGGACACTAATGGGGACCATAATCATAAAGTCACCAAGAAGGTGTTTACTGAGGTCAGAACAGTGAACCACAGGGCTCTTTTCCCACAGTCTCTTCTTTGTACCCTTAACAACACCTCAGTATATATCAGGGTTGGGCAACTCGAGGGCCGGTGTGCTGCAGGTTTTAGATGCGTCCTTGATCCAACACAGCTGATTGAAATGGCTAAAATACCTCCTCAACATGTCTTGAAGTTCTCCAGAGGCCTGGTAATGAACTAATCATTTGATTCAGGTGTCTTGACCCAGGGTGAGATCAAAAACCTGCAGGACACTGGCCCTCGAGGCCTGGAGTTGCCCACACCTGGTATATATCAATAAAAATGTGGTTTGACGACCATGAGATCATTTTCAATAGTAGCTGCATAGACAGGGATCACCCTTGCTCACTTCTGATGTCACAGCCAATCATTTTGTTCTATAAGCTGGCCTGAAATGTCATAGAAACTGTGCAGTTTAGAAAAGAGCTTCAAGAGTTACTCCTATTAGACTTCTAAACGGTAAAGAGTTACAGCACTTGAATGTTGATTTCACTTTCCAAGCTATGTCCATCTTTTATATACAGTCTGTGGCACTGAACCATACATGAACACACTTCTGGACCCCCTTCAACTCAATATGTATCTATGCAAGCTTGGATAAGGCTGCATTCAAAACCGACTTACTAAGAATACCGTCACTGAAGATGAATCTGTTACAGGGTTACCTAACTCATTAGAGTACATTACCATAATTAGCTTGCTCATGTTGGTTATAGTCCACAGGGTGTTTAGCCTATTGTACCTTTGAGTGTGATAACTTTACCTTTGCATAGCAAGTTGAGATTTGCAGCATGCCCTCCACTACATCACTAACCACAAGATTACCAGCTTTGGCTGAATGCCAGCCACCATGGTTTCAGAGCTGAAGGGCTGGCATCTCCTCTTCAATGTGCCTCACCACCAGGGATGTGAGATGGCACTCAGCATATACTGTAGGTGCTTTACTAAATATGAATTAGAGCCCCTTAACAGCTGACAGGTGCTTAGTTTCACCCAGTAACAGATTGTTTATTTGAGACGAACCCTTTTTTATGCTGCTA